TATTTGGGGGTGCTTAACTTTTTTCCAGGTGTATATATATATACATTTTTTTAACACTTACCATAATTTCTGCACGCATTTTTATAGACCTGTCTGGTAACATGAAATTGTCATGAGCTCCAATGAATAGTCATATATAAAAAGAAAGATCTTTTTAAAAAATGTTTCATTCTTTTAATCAGTTAGTTTAGCTCTGTTATTGTTTGTAGTGTTTTTGTTCAGACAGCATAAAAAATATTCTGTAGAACTTTTGATTTGGTCAGTCTGCCTTTAAAAAAATTCTTTATGACTTTCTTTTGGTCATTCAACTCTAAACAATTCACCACATGATAATTTGTCTTCAGTGTGATGCCACCTATCTTGTATTACACTCCTTAAAGGACTTTGTTACAGGAGAACTTCATGGAAAAATTAATTGAATGTAGAAGTTATTCAAATGTTACTCCAGTCAGTAAGCAATAAAAGAGAAAATTTAAATATTTCTGATTTTATGTTTTTCCTCCAGAAACTTGTAAGAAAACACCATTTTTGTAAATCGTCATTTTCACAGGACTCGAAAAATTCAAGTGCAGGCACAAATAATGACCCATCTTTACCACTGTATTGTTTGTAATTTGGGTTAATAATAATATTAAAAACAAAAGGCATTTGTATGACACACAAGGTTTTATAAAATTTTTGGACAAAACTACTAGCCATTGACTCTTTTATAATGTTAATAAAATGAAAAGGTAAATTTATTATACTGGCAGAACATGATTTGTTGGTCACTAATTTGTGAGACATTACATCACAATAAAACTGACAATAATTGCTGGTATATTGTAAATGACTAACACAAAGTGTTTTGACTGAGGCTTGGTGTGGGTTTGAAATGTTATTTTGTTTTCCCTGCTGGAAATCCACAGTCTAGTTCCAGTAATAAGATTTGTAAAAAAAATTTGTGGGTCTTATTTGTTTAAATTAACTTTTTATTGCAACATGCTTCATTTTTTTTTCATTTATGTTACTCAATTTGAAATATTAACTTATCTGATTCAAGGTATAGGCAGTTACCAATTTAATAATATTGCAGGAAAAGTTGAAATCAGGATAAATGAAGACGATTAAATCGTAAATATAAATCACAGCAAAACTTTATGTACTATTGCAATTGTGAGCAAACCCACAAATTTCTAATTTGCTACTTTTTGAACTCTAAAGTCTTGGATACAGGATTAACGAAACGCATGTTGTTGTAGCAACATTTTTTTCTTGTTTTAGTATTATAGGTAGCTTAAATCTGTATAAAATCACAAAGTTTTACAGAACAGTACACGAACAAGGAATCACTTTAATACATCTCTGCTTTTTTCAGACTATCTTCCTAAATCCTCTCGGGAAGGGATTTTTTCAGCATAATTCAGCCAACTTTTATTTCTGTGCTTTTATAGCAGTAATCTTGACTTCAAGTCTTATTACAATTGAACGGTCTGATATTCTTCTCTCTTCTTGCTGGCCTGGTGGTTAGGGTGTTTAAATTGCAATCTGAGGGTGTCGAGTTCAAATCTCCATCACACCAAACATGCATGCCTTTTCAGCCGTGTGGGCATTATAATGTGATGGTCAATTCCACTATTTGTTGGTAAAAGACTAGTTGCCTTCCCTCTAGTTTATAACTGCTAAATTAGGGACAACTAGCACAGATAGCCTTTGAATTCTTTGGGTAAAATTCAAACCAAACTCTTTTCTTGCAATAGTCCCCTTTCAATCATAGAGAACACCGCTTCTTCTGACTGAACAGTTTTCACTACATTTCTCACTAGACTTTCTTTTACTTGTGATTTGTTTGCTCCTGACTGATGACCTTTTTTGGATTGATTTCTTTTCATGGCTGAATATCATTTTGAGTGATCTCAAGGCTACATAAATACATTCACCCATCTTAATAGCATGCTTATTGTACTGTATGGTATTGATTCATTCGTACACTTTGTACTCTGTAGTACTCATTCTCAAGTACAACAGCTTGTTCACTGTACTGTACTAATCCTAATAGCACAATATGTAACCTGTTTATTACTGACTTTAATATTACACCATCTTCTGTAGTACTGATTGTAGTGGTACACTTTCTGCACTATATTTCTATTTTGTAGATTCTATAACAAATTACTGTATTTCACTTTATCTTCCATACAATTCTGATGCAAGTGGTAAATGACATGTTTTGTAATTACTGTGAAGTTATTTTTTTTCTTTTATTTTACAGGACTTTACTTCCTCTGTAACCAGCCTCAGCTTAGATGACATTGAAAGAATAGCCATCACAAATTTGGATGTAAATGCTGTTTTCAGTGATGAACATTGTCCACCATGGTATCAAGAACTTAGCACAGTTGGAGAGTAAATGATGGCAAGCTAGAAGCCATGCACTTTAAGCTGCAACAAAAACTCTTCATTCCATCATCCGTTTTCACACTAGGTTTAATTGAAGTGAAGGTTTGTTTGAAAAAAAAAAAAGTAGGTCTAAACTTATCAGTTCTGGTTTTTCTGTTAGGAATATATATATTATTTTTGTCATGAAAATGTTCTGTAACAAATATCAAACTAAGTTTAGTTGTTAACTGCAGTGTTGTTTTATGTCTGTACAAATTGGTCACAGTCGTCCTATTCAAAAGTGCAAGGTGAAAAAACAATTATGCACCCTATTTTCTCTTGATGTTCTCATGAATCATTATGTCCGTCAAATGGCTTCATTAGTTGAATGTATATTCTAAATGAATTTAATAATACTTGTAGAAAAAAAAAGGGAAATAAAATTATGATCTTAAATACTTCTTAAAATGTGTTTGGTATTTGATAATCACCGTCATGCTTACAAAAATATTATTATTGATGTCACTTTTCAGAAATAAACAGGTGTTCATAAAATAATTATATTGTTTACATTTTAGCATATAAATTAAAAAAAAATTGCCTCAAGGTTTTTGTACTAATATAAATATAGTGTAATAAGGCTGTTTCTTAAATAATATTCAATGAATTGAAACTTAATAATGTTGAATGAGAGTAAGTAAAGGATGCATGTACAGTGTTAATAATAGTGCAGAAGTAGCAAAACAAAGTCATGGTCAATACTTCTTTGAAAAACTGATTGAACAGTGGGGTTCAATGGTTTAAGAACATTTGCTTTATATATATATAATTATATTTCAGTCTTAAAAACATTACGTTTTAATAACTTTTATAGCTCTAAGATAGATAAGCTTAAGTCCTGTGTGGGTCAGCAGTGAGCTTATGAACTTGCTTTGCTAAAAATCTAGGGTTCATTTCTCCATGGTGGTGGACATGTTTTTTGCACAGTCTACACAAACAGATATTACAAATAACATTTTTGAATAATACTTAAAAATTCAAAGCATGTATAATATAAATGAATAAATTTGTTACATGAAAATAAATTATTTCTATCACTCATAAGGATAAGAAAGCATAGGTTCAAAAAATCACAACTCTAGTGTTTTTGAAACTTGGGCCTTTCTTAATCAGGGACAGACTGAGGATGATTTATCTCAGTTTTTGACAACTCTGTCGATATTCTTCAATCTTAGTCTGTATTATATGCATAAGAATATCATAAAATAAATGTTAAATCTATTCCAATTTTGATGAAAATATACACTCAAGATTGTTTAATAACTGAAATAGAACCCCAGCTTATAATTCCAAAGTCTATATATTTTTAGATTAATACTTAATATATCAGTAATTATCAATATCCTGAAAAAAGTATTGTACAATCCCTTCTCCAAAAAGATAAATGCTAAAAATTCTGTTTCTCATAAAATTATTTGTACAATTAGAGTTGGGTGGTACTTGCTAATTGATTAATTGACAACAACCTAATTAATTGATAAGTATGGTGTTCTTCAAACCATGAATCACATAAGCCGAAAAAAGGTTGAGTGTCAGCAGTTTAAAATTATTGACAAGTGGCAATGGCCTTAATAGCTTTGTCATAACAAAAACAGGGTGAAGTGGGAAATTGAACCAGAGACCCCCAAATCATGATTTTTTTACTAGATTTTTTATTTTTTCTAGACAGGTCGTTAGTTTTAGCTCTTGAATTGTTTTCAACCACTGGCAAGTTTGTTTAGGAACAAAAATGCTCGAAAAACAGTGTAGTACAGTGGCACATTACAACAGACATTCAACTACTTTTAAGTATTAAATTCACTTACTTGTCTAAATAGCCATAGCTTTTCTTAGAATATAAAATGTTTGGTAATAACAAATTGTGGGGGAAAAAAAGACTGATTTTATTATTATTAAACTTATAATTACTGCTATTTTTCCTAGGAAAGTTATTAACTTTAGTATCAATGCCAATTTCTAGTAAAGTAAAATTAATTGTGAAAATGTCCCAGATTTCACTGGAGAATGTATTTTATTATTATGATCTTGCTGGAAGCAAACATAGATAAAATCAGATCTAAAAACCATTTTCCTTCTGTGTGAAACAAAACTCTTCATAGTTAAATTCTAGATTTTTTAAGCATTTTACTTAATATATCCAAAGTTCCACGACACAATGAAAGTATTAATATAACTTACTGATAACAAGGGAACATTTGGTCTTTTTTTTTTTATATATATCTACACATAGAACACAACCTCACAGCAGTGTTGCATAAGTACATATTTGTCTTAAGTAGTAGAAAGAAAAAGAAAACACTCGCATTGAGTGTTGCATTAGTTTTGTAGAATATTATGTATTGTAAAACAATCTAAGAGGAAGGGAATATTTAAGCATTTTACCCCCAACTCACTGTGCAATATAGAGACAGGAGTAATGTCGAATATTTTTTGTTAAGTACCATATTTGAACAGAGAAACTATCTCAAAATACAGATTAAGTTTAAAATCAAGAAACAAAAGTTTCTTAGCTACTTATGGCCCATATTCTACTGGAATAAAAGCATTTAACAGAAAGAAAAAAAAAAATCAACAAAATCCTGATTATTTTTTTCCTACGTTTTTAGGTTCCAAAAGAATTCTCAGTTCACTAGGTGCATTTTTTAAAAATTAAACCTTCAATTAAAAACCCTACACTTGTGAAATCATTTAATCACATATGTAACCCAGGTTCACAACTCGTACATTTTACTGGGTGCACTTTGTTTTTTTTCAGTCAATATTTATTATCTTCTTTCTTTACATAATACAACTGGTATTCATGCATACTCTTAATATATTTATTGAATTACATTAAAATGTAAGACGAAATACTTAACCATTATATATATATATATATATATACACAGAATTTTCTGGATAGGTTTACAGAAAGCCGAGATAAATGCACATTATAAAACTCACAAAAAACTACAGATTAATCTTAGCCTACAGTTTTAAGTACCTGCCTTACTGCCTAGTAAACAAACTTCAAACTTCTGTTTATTGTGCCCAGGACCATCTGTTAATTATTTCACACAACTACACCAAAAATATTTTGGTAACAATTACAAATTAATGGAAAATCAGTCCTAAGCTACTTAATTGATGGAGTCCATAATATTTACCGAAACATCAGTTGTATATTTTTTAAATCTCCCCTTTCTCTCTCTCTCTCCTATTTATATATATATATATAAGCTTTCCAATATAAACATATATATATACAATGATGCACGTTGAGAAGTTCACATAAAAATGCAAACTACATCAACCAAGATAAATTTCTGTAGTGTTTAGTCAAATATGTATGTATATATATATTTAGATTTGACATATTACTTTCGAACCATTAATGTGAGAAAATTTAAAACTTCAAGTTCTTTCAAAAATGAAGTATAGAAAATTATAAAATCTTCAACTGATAGCTTCCTGAGTATCTCAGATCTTTGACTAGCACCATCTGTTGAGCAATGCTACAAACACTCATAAAATTCTGCTTTCTACATTACAGATGTTTAATTATATATATTACTTCTGTTAATTAAGAGTAATGTTCTCAAAGATTAATTTTTACTAGCTTAAAATACTGCTTCAATAGGTTAAAGATGCCAGATTTGTGGAGATGCTTACAATATACTGCATGACCTTAAACTTCCAAATCACCTTTTTTTAAATTTTAGGCTACAGACAAGACAATTAAAATGTTTTAAACACATTTAAGATATGAACTCCAAGTTGTAAAAATACGAACACAAGTAAGCTTTCCATTTAATATAACATTAATTATAAAGATACATGTTTAGAATTTCACATATGATGCAGACTACATCAAAACATTACATCAACCAAGATTAAGCTCTGTAGTGTTAAACCAGAGTTAAAATACCTTTGCCACAATTTTTCATATCACAAGAAATGTGCTGTTAAACATCCTGATTTTGTTCCAAACTTTTTGCTATGGACAAATATTAAAATAATAAGTAACAATTAATTTTCAGCTCCAATATTCTGTTTCAACCTATATCTCACATTAAGTAAAGTTATGGTTAGGCCCTTTGACCTATATCAGCACATTCTTATATAATCCTGAATAATGTGATTATGTTATAGACGTTGTCATACTTTGAAAATCACAAGTATGATGTACCACTAAAGCATAATATAAAATATCTAAAAAAACAATATTTACAGAAAGTTAAAGGAAGAAAAAGAAGGTATGAAGTTTATAAATTTCTAGAAAAAGACAGGTCATTTCCAGATTATGGAAACAAATATGATTAGCTACTGTGTCCCTATAAATGTCAGAATGTTTTTAGAACTGTTATGTGATTGATATAAAATCACTTGTGCGATGCTCTTTAAGAAATAGATAAATGAATTAGGATACAAAATTCACATTTACTTTCTAAGAGAGTAAAAAATGTTTTACTTCTTCAACTGCACTCATTATTAAAAGCCTCTTCTTATTCTATTATACACTAACTTTACTTATTTAAGGTGTTGGATATAAACTTTAAGACTTAGAGAACTAGTCTAGTCAGGAGGATGTTGTCATAGTTTTTAGTCCTTCATCAAATCCCCTTGTTTTGAAAATATATACTTCACACATACATGGCCATAGGAGCTTCTACAATTACTATGACATTGTTTGCAACATATTTTGGTACCAAAAATTTTTTTTAAATAACATTCGTTTGTTGTAATATAGCAACAGCATAAAACTGGAAGGCTAAGAAACAGATCAGCCAGGACTTCTGAATTTTTTTTTATCAGAACCTAGTTAAACAGCATTGTAAGCCAGTTTTAGTTTACCAATTGAAGTTTAAGCCAGTTTTGGTTTGTCTAAATAAAGAATCCAGCTAAACAGCATTGTAAACCAGTGCTCAGATTACAATGAAACCAGTGACATCTTAACATGTTTCATGTAGATCTGCAGGGGAACAAAAGAAGCTAATATTTTCAAAATACTGCAACGACACATTCATTGAACTAATGGACTTTGGCAACAGGAAAGAAGCTGTTACAAGATTTGGCAACCATCAGAACAGTCGTTTAAATGAGGAGGCTAACCTTACATTAATGGATAAGCAAAGGTAAAATGTCTTCATCCAGTATGGGGCACAGAGCATAAGTGTTACAGAATGTGAGGTTTTTTAGCCACACTGAGCTTGCCTCTATGAAGTGATAAGAGACATGGTAACTTTAACTAGCTTATCATTTTGCACACTGAGGATGGTTCTTCATTGTTAAAATGGATGAAAAAAAAGGAGAGGGAGAGAGAGAAAACAAATTCATCTCTCCTGAAATTCAAACTGAAGTTCTAATGATCGTGTCACTGAAAATCCTGTATACCATATCATTCATGATTCATCTTTCATAACATTGTATTGTATGCACCAGATGAGTCGATAACTATCTTGAAGTGAGTGAAGTCTTCATCAAGTTTAGGAAAGTACCATCCATTGATGCAAACACATTACTGTATGTCTCCAAATGAATTATTAATTTTCATGGTCAACGATTTGATGGTTCAAGTGCTAAGGCTAGTAGGAAAACCGAGTAGTCATACAGATTGCAAAGGAAGTTGAGCTTGCATTATTTATACACTACTATAGGCATGTTCTGAATCATGCAGTCAGTAACGAAGTGAGTTTTTGTCCTGAAAGATGCTTTGGACATTATACGTATTAAATCTCCAAGTGAATTTTTCTCCTAAATGTGAAGTACTATTCACGTGTATAAAGGAAAAAGTAGCACCTGTCCACGAATGCTTTTGTATTGACTGTCCAACAAAGTAAACGTTTTTGATTTGCATTACAGATATTATGTGTGTGTGTTATTAACTTAACATTTTATTCGGTTTAACAATGAATATTCAGTTCAATTATGAAGTATTTTGTTATTAAAACAATAATTAATTAATGATGATTGTTATAATTTTATTAAACGTATAGAAAAGAAAAAACAAATTTCATGAAAACATTAAATATAGAATTATGGAATGTGTTTAATGTGCAAATTTAATCTAAAATGTTATTGTGACAATTATCAGCTACAATAAAAGGTAAATTTTTTCTAACATTGGGCACACTTTTTAGGCAAAATTTCTTCAGAGTGTAAAAGAAAGTCATGACATATTATAGAGCTTGTGGGAAAAGGTCCTTGAAGATGGAAAGAATTTCACTAGTAATGCCTGAGCCAGACAGGATAACTGGATCTCAGGTACAAGTGAAAATATTTTGTTCCCTTTTTGATCACTATGAAAAGTAGGGTCTTCAAATATGTTGTACTTGTCACCATTCCCCAACAACCTTCCATGGTACAAATATTAGAAACTGTCTGGCTCCTTACACCTACCATATTGTAAACCAATCATTAAAAAAAATTACATTCATAATGCCTATTACTTAACACATTTTTTACACTACACACACATATATATATATATATATCTAATAGAGAGAGAGAAATTAACTTTTGAAAAATATTAGAAAATTTAAAAGAACAGAATTAACAAATAACATCAACAACGATGATTTAAAAACTGCAAAAATAAGCTATGCAAGGCACAGTATGCAGCATACAAACAACACAGTTTTGGATTTAATAAGCAAGGAATCACTGCCATAAGCTGCTAATAGCATAATGAGTCACTCCTCTTCTAGTAACTGATACTTTGTTTAGGTAGCATCTGCAAAAAATATAAAATATATATATATATACAATGTGTTGATACGACACAACAGTGTGCATGTGTACAATGCTGTTTCATACTATGAAAAAGACAGGGTTACTTTGATTTAGCTTAAAAGTTAAAAGTCGACTAGAAAAAACTTAAGTTAAAGATTCAAAGCTTTTCAAACAGTAAACAAAACAAAAATATAACCAAAAATACATACTTTAAGATCCCCAGTCAAGAAAAACCGAACCAAATTTATTAAAAAAATGTCAGAGCCGAAAAACGGATTGAAGATGCCAGACTATGTAATCGTAATACAATCTAGAAAAGCTTCTTCTTCTGATTAAAAAAATATACTCATAAGTGAAATCTGTAAAATGCCTTGCCAGGAACATAAACACAGAGAGAAAGGAGACTGCTTCGCATGTGGCATTTGTAAATGCTGCTTACCTTTGGATTCATGCTCGATTAAAGCAAATCATATTAATTGGAAGCAAAGAAATGATGCTGAAAGTGGAGAGAGAATAGTAATGAGAAGGACAAGTGCCCTGAGAGGTCAAAATCGAATTAGATTAGAAGAAAGCAAGGTGTATGATATTGATTCTGGAGAAGATAAAAATGCTGAAGCCTCCAAAACCATTACTGCTATATTCAATGCCTTGGGTATTACCAATCGCAGAGCTTTGGAATGTGTACCTATAGGTGGATATGAACCTAATGCATTGCAAAGTGTCAGACAAAGACAGAAGGTTGTTCAAATATGCACACAAATAACCGATAAGTTATTCCAACTTTTGTATCTGACCAATCCATTTGAATTGAAGATTTATTTTATTGACAGACTACAGTCTAATGAGAAATATACAAAAGAACCCATTTCCAAAAGCTTGTGCAAGCTATCATTTCTTGAGTGCAGAAACATTTCCGTGGTTCCTCAAAACATTTTAGCAAATTCACTCGAACGATGTGTTACATGCAAAAGGATGCTCGCCGATGAATTCAATAGCCTACCAAACCAACAAAAACAGCTTATACCCGTTAAAAAGCACTCAATGGGAAAAGTGAAGTTTTCATTCTTGAGAAAGATGTTTGCTACTCTGGAGTGTGGAACAGATGTGACAAAACACAATTACACTTTCCGTGTGGACATCCAGAGGATTGCACCAGCAATTACATTCATTCAACAAAGCCTTCAAGTAAAGCCTGGTCAAACAAGGAATGTAAGGATTGACAACCACGTATTTTCAGATATGCCGGTTTATGAACATGGCGGACAGAGTATCGAAGACCTTCACAAAGCGTATAAGAACTCCTTTGATAGCCATGAACAGGTTGGGGTGGATACATTTCACAATATCATTAAGCTGCTGACAAAAAGAGGTGAAACAAAAGCTGGTTTGTCAACCTACTACATCCAATTAAGATATGTCAGTTCAGTATTCGAGTCCACGATGACAAGATTAAGCAACATGAAGTATCCTGAAGAAATCGAGGCAAATGATATTCAAGCAAGCGTTGAGAAAATCTTACAGAGATGGAAAGCATTTGAGTTAATCGTCTGATGACAAGACTCATTGCTGTACGTTTGCACAAGGTGGACGATGTGATCATGTTCACAACCATAGCTATTGCGTTAAGTGTAATAAATGTGTCAATTTTTTCGACAATTAGGCTAGGCCAAACTTGGTGCAGGCTGCCTTATTACTACTGGATGATCTTGATACAACAAAGGAAGTAGAATCAATGTTAGCATTGTCAGAAGGGTGAGCATGCTATCCAGGGAATACGAAAGATGAAATGCCCAGGGAGTGTGTGGAAAAGTTAATTGAGTTGTACAAAACGAGAAAAATATTTTCTTATATTTTATCAGTATTAATTAAGATCAGTTATTTTATTTTTTTGCACAAATGCATGTATATTATAGTTCAAAATCATTTTCAAGCTCACTTTTTTTTTATATTAAAAACAAATAAAACTAAAGGGGCACTTGGTAGAGTGCATACCTCTGCCATGCAGCATTGATCATATTCGGCTATGTGTCCATATGTCTGTCGTCATCAATGGACATGGACCATTTCTGGCAGGACAAGGAGGAATAATATTCTACACATGTCCACCAAGTTTCATCAAAATCAGATAATTTTTAGACTGAGTAATAGAGAAAAAATAGTTTTAAAAATCAGTCTCCAAGTTATCAAGTAGGGATTTTTATTTTTCGTGACTTTGAGCGTTGACCCTCCAAAAACTAATCACTTCTACGTTGGGTCATAGTCCAAATGTATACCAAATTTCAGCCAAATTCATTCAGTCATTTTGAGAAATCCTGCTGACAAACACACACAGGGGTGAAAGCATAACCTCCATCACCTTTGTTGGCAGAAGTAAATATACAAAGATTAATCAAGATGCTGAAAGTGACCTGTTTATATTAATCTAACCAAACAACACTGATAACATTGCTCTTTAGAAATAAGATATAACTTATCCATGTGGTAAGCTTGAAAATCTGAAGTTAAAACTGTTTTCAAGTAGCATCGAGCAGTGTCTAAAATGAATATGATTATACATAAAACTTCACTGTCAAAAACTTATAAATCTAATTCGTTGGTGTGTTCTTCATTCCTGATGAAAGAAAGTATGTTAAAAATGTATTTGAATTTTTTTTTCTCAACTCCCTTCACAGAGTTAATACACTACGAAAATAATACTCCTTTTTGTATAAGGTAGAATGCAGGAATATTACTGGGGGGGGGGACTTTTCTGAAACTAATCTAATAAACAAAGTACATCATTTTCAAAACCAGTATAATGCAGTTAAAGTTGCTAAAAGAAAACCTAATTATGTTTGTTGACACATTTGTTTTAACCAGAAAATGGCAGAAAAGTCACGATTTTAGGGTAAACAATGCCCTGTTAACAGTACTGAAACATTTACTGCTAACCATATTAGTGCCTGTCCTTTGAAAGATCTCTAGAGTCATAATAAATGAAGAAACACTTATCAAACTTGTCACAATTTTAAACATCTGACTGAACTTATGTATGTTTACCTTTCCACTTTTGTTCATAATGGTTCAATGCATCATTCACTTGTTAATCTTCTGTTCTTGAGAAATCGTTTCGCTGGTGGTCAGTAGCTGTTTGTGATTCCACTGATGTCTCCTTCATATACTTAAAAACAACATTAAATTATTCCTTTTTGAACCTTTTTTTAAAGTAAAAGCATAAGCGTGTCCTAAAACCAGGTTAATTTCAAATTATGCCTAGTTTATTTTTAATTTATTGAATCGTCCATTAATTAGCAACAAGCACAAAGTTGAGAAAAGTACTGTTCATTTCAGGCATCATGGGAAATGCCTTCAGGCGCTCCCTAGTACTGACATAAGTGTGTGATAATGAGATTTTGGTGGAGTTAAAAATTCTTAAATTGTTCAGTCACTTAAGTAGGCTTGCATTTATGTCTTCACCTGAGGGCTGTTAATATTTTTCATGACATTTATTCACTTTGTGATGTAGTCAAAGTTGGATATGAAATGAAGTAAATGATACATGAATTATTTAAATGTAAATAGAATTGTCAATAAGAATTTGCAAAGGAAAAAGTGTGTGGCAAATTCATACAAACTTATTCAATTTTATACTTTTGAACAGAAGAGAAAAACCTGTAAAAACTGGTCTATTCAATGATAACCAAAAATGTTCTTAATAACCACGTGTATTATGATTTCAGCAATACAAGTATTGTTTCTTGGCACTTGTGTATAATGTTAAAATAATACATGTTAAAATGTTTTTCTATACTCATTTTAACATTGTGTAATATTTATTGTTTCAACATTATATTACCTTTATTTGAAAATTCCCCCAAAAGTCATTTCTTTAATGCAAAGAACTGCAGTTTGTGAAGAGTTGAATTGCTTACGAAACATGGTTTCTGTACACATGTGGTCAACCTTTGTAATATGATGTGTGAACAATACATCCTATGTCAGTAACCTGTAGTGTCTGCCTACTTATGGAGTAAATCATTAATCTAGCATTTGAGTTCTGATAAATACTGATACCTTATTCCGCTCAACTGCTGAATTACAGCAATAACCCAGCATCTCCTCAGTTAATGTATTGCATGAATTGAGCAGAAGAGAGAGCGTAATTGACGGAAGGTTAGAACATAACCACATGAAGCAGACACAATGCTTGAACACGTAGAATCTACTGTGAAAGAGGGAATCAGGAACTTATGAGAACAAGATCTAGTAAACTTTCAGGTTGGCTGAAAGTGGTGTGAAATGTGAAAGAAATTCATTTTTTGAAATTATTAAATTGCCAGAAATCACTTTTTCTAAAAATTCTTCACAGTTTACTGCGTAAAACAGAGCCTCTTATGAACAAAAGGACTAACTGTGAAGCAAGCTATCCCTGAATGTAGGAATTTTGGAAGAGTTGGGATGCACAAAAGGTACAAAATTCCCAAAATGCTTCATAGCACTTCATTCAACAATGGAAAGATACAAGAAAATAATTGTAAGCTTATGGAGTGAAGCATGGTGGGTCTACACTACAACAATGTCACTAAGGTCAATTTCAGGGTCATGTCCTTCCAAACTTATTAATAAGCATCATACACCAAACATGTCATGCAATGGTTAAACAATATCAAATGACACACTTTAAACCAAACATTACCCAAACTGCTCTTCAAGAACAACAATTATGGGTATGAATACAGCTCAAGTAAACATCCTAACAGTATTCGAAAATGATGATAAATATTCAACAGCTGTATTTACAATGCTGCTGAAATGTAACAAATGCCAATATGGTATCTCCATTGTCAATATTGGTTATTGTTCTAGGTCTGCTTGAAAAACGTCTATGTGTTAATGAGCCTGTAGTACAGATCTACTGACACATATTTCCTATCATCTCATGTGATGTTCATCTGGGAACCACTTAACATATAATTCGGCAGTAGTCTGGGCATCATTGGAACATTGTCCATGCACTTGAACTGCATACTGCATCACTATTTAAACTGCAGCATAATGCTTCTATGATACCTTACATAAAGAGGATTTTGGTTGTTTTGAATTTCGCTCAAAGCTAAACGAGGGCTACCTGTGCTAGTCGTCCCCAATTTAGCAGTGATAGACTAGAGGGAAGGCAGTCAGTCAACACCACCCACTGCCAACCCTTGGGCTACCCTTCTACCAATGAATAGTGGGATTAACCATCACATTAAACAATATTCGGTGTGATGGGAATTCGAACCTGCAACCCTCAGATTGCAAACCAAGTAAGTGCCTAACTACCAGGCCATGTAAAGTGGATTGTTATTTTAATACTATTTAACCTTTTGGGCCTTTCAAAGATTCAACAACTTGCTTATGTAAAATTATGACTTCTCACCCCAAACTCTGGTTTATGTAACAGCCTCTGCTACAGTTAGATTTTGATCTTCAGTGGCATACCTTCATATATGAAAAGGATACGTTTATTTATAGTTGTTGTTCTTGAGGGGCAGTTTTGGTAATTTTTGGTTTAAAATGTTTCATTTGCTATTGTCCATGCCCTTGCCATTAATATTTTAGGTGTATGATGCACATTAATAAAATTTCCCAAGTACATGAGCTTGTATATAAAAACCCTGTATATATATATGTGTGTGTGTGTGTGTGTGTGTGTATACAAATCCAGTTTTGCACATGTGCACTATATAAAGATGTTTGCACTATCTGAGACATTTCACTTTCACAAGTTGTACTAATGTTGAAGGCACAACCACAAGGAACTTGTATTTGTAACACCATATCACTCTTTAGAGGTCCCTGGTTAAAAAAACATTATAATCTAACAAATTTTACTTGATTATTAAAGTAAACAGAGAAATGGGTCAGTTTTAAGTATATATGGATGCCAATTTGGTTACATAATATGTGTAGTAATAGCAAAGAAATTAAATAAATTTTCTTTCTTTAAAAATGCACTTCCAGAAATCTTCATAAGAATTGAGAAAAGAAGTAACATAAAAAGAGTTAAACATAAATTCTCTGGACATAGCACAAACATTCTAGCAATATTTATAACTCAAATTTCTTAAATAGTGCCATCTGCCCTGTAAACAGTTCTACATGTCAGACTGTACATTAATTGCAAGAAAAAAAGCTTAAATTCTCTGCAAGATTCTGACAAAAAAATCTTACCAAATGAAGGGGAATAGTGGAATTCTGACTGCAACTTTTGTGGAACTGTAATCCACTCTCAGCTGTCAATGGTAGGTCATAACATTGACACAAAATGTTCAATGTGCCCATTGGCTACGTGTAAACATGCAGAACAGAAAATAAAATTGTCATGCAGAGAAAACAACAGATCATTTTAGTCAACCAGGTGATATTTTGTTCATTTATTACAAAAAATAAAACTTATAAAACCAAATTCTTGGGATGATTCTACAGAAAGAACAGCATGGCACATGCACAAATAAACAGCACTTAAACTCAAAATTTAATCTTAAAAGTTCAATTAAAAACATGTAATGGATAAACATTTCTGTTTTTGGGCTAATTAGATGATCTTGCTAATATCAGTGGTTTAAACTTCCATTTATACAGATTAACTAATCAGGTGGAAAATGAATCTTTATAATAAATATTAAAAACATGTTTAATTACGGACGTTTTGGAAGTTCTTCAAATTCCATCATCAACATTTAGTTAGTTCATAGTATTTTAACCACAAAAAACAACATTAAATACTGAGCGAGTTCAGGTATTCAACTGGAAGTTTAGAAAGAACAGAATATAATGGAATGTATGATAAAACGTGTGGCATACACATGCTTAATAAATAATATTGTTAAAGAAAATTATTATACAGAAAAGCTTAAATATAAGTATAAACACTGTATCTTCAAAATAATAATAATTATCAAATAAAAACACTGAGAATCTGGAATTGATTACATTAATGACAACAGGGAGGGGTTGATGTTATTATTTCATGTTGGATGATCATTGAAAATGGAGAGGCTTTCTTTAAAAAGAGTTTGTAATCTGTGGTTGTAGAGTAGAGAATTTAAAAGTTTTCTAGAAGTATGGGGTGGTTGTTATTCTCACTGTGCAATCAGATACAAGACTCGGGTGGATTAGTTAGCTAAAAACCTCTTCTAGCTGAAATTCCCATGTGCACGTGTTTGTAGGTGACACGTAGTTTTCCCAACATAGGTAGTATTACAACTACCACAAGTGTATTTATATACGACCCATAGGAATGGGTAGAGTGTCTTTGGTTTTAAACATAATTTTCCTTTTAAATATTGACGTAAATACTAAATGTAGCTTAATTTGTGGGTAATATGTTTTGATTATTTGAGTTTAAAACCTTGTTTGTCAAATACACATTAACTAATACGTAACAAATAAATAACAAGAAAACACTATTTTGATGATTCACAAGATACTTCACTAGTTTGAGACATTTCTTCATAAACTAATAGTAACAAAAAAAATGTTACCCAGGAATAATTAAAAACAATCTTCTGCTCCTAGTGCTGGGATCATCTTGGTTTTAAAAACATTTAAAAACAACCTTCTGCTCCGAGCACTGGGATTATCCTAGTTTTGAAAGCATTTAAAAACAATCTTCTGCTCCTAGTGCTGGGATCATCTTGGTTTTAAAAACATTTAAAAACAACCTTCTGCTCCGAGCACAGGGATTATCTTAGTTTTGAAAGCATTTAAAAACAATCTCCTGCTTCTAGCACTGGGATCATCTTGTTTTTAAATGCTTTTAAAAACAATCTCCTGCTCCTAGCACTGGGATCATCTTGGTTTTAAAAGCATTTAAAAACAATCTCCTGCTCCTAGCACTGGGATCATCTTGGTTTTAAAAACATTTAAAAACAATCTTCTTCTCCTAGCACAGGGATCATCCTGGTTTCAAAAGCATTTAAAAACAGTCTTCTGCACCGAGCACTGGGATTATCCTAGTTTTAAAAGCATTTAAAAACAATCTTCTGCTCCAAGTACTGGAATTATCCTAGTTTTAAAAGCATTTAAAAACAATCTTCTGCTCCTAGCACTGGAATTATCTTAGTTTTCAAAGCATCACCCTAAATGTGCCACAGAAGTCTTAGACAAGGTTAAATTAAAGAGTTAAATACAGGCTTTCTGGACTAGAAAGTTAAATAAAGGTTTTCTGAAATTAGAGAACTAAGTACACGTTTTCTGGATTAATCAGTTAAGTACACACTTTCTGGACTAGACATTAAATAAGAGCTTTCTAAATTAAAGAAGTTAAGTACAGGATTTCTGAACTCAAAAGTTAAGTACCAGCTTTCTGAAGTAAAGAGTTAAGTACAGCTTTCTGGATATGGGATAACGTGCTTGATATGAAGTTATACAAAAATATATAAAAAAAATGCAAATTTAAAAGAAAAACTTTTCTTGCTAAATAATTCATAGTATAAAACTAGTCACAGAAATTAGTAGAAATTTATTCTACTTGCTAAACGTTTTGCTTTACAACTTTTTTTATGAGAGATCTTTACGAACAGACAAGGTTAACGGACACACTAGTCTTTGATAACAAATAGCATATATTGTTTGTTATTATGCTGCTTTACATAAGTGAGTGTGTTCTAGAATTAATTTCAAATCATACTGATTATTTTGTTTAGAATATTAGTTATAAAAGCACATATTCTAGCAAGGGGAGATAAAGACCATAATCATGCTTCACAAGTAATTAGCATCGTGTCTTATGACAGGCTTAAACCTTTCCTTTAAATTTCTTCATCAACAAAGCTAAAAATAACAATAAATGTCTGCTTACAAACAAAAACTGGTTCTAATTATTTCAATTATTTAGTATTACAATCATTTTCGAAAACTCATAATGTTCCTGAAGAAGCTACAAAATGAAATACTAAGTAATTTAAAGAATTTCTTCTGAAGACTGGTGGCAATTTTTTGTACTACTTATCACATCATCTGTACTTAGCATTACATTAGTTAGCTAATGACGCGTTTCACTTAAGCATGAAATATTTGTAAGAAATCAATTTTTGACCTCCTGCTTAATAAGAAAAAGTAGTTCCCAAAAATACCGTGCTTCCATGTGCTCTTGATCAAATCTGCTGAGAAATTTCCGTTTCTATTATATTTCAGAAATTTATGTTGCTTGATTCTTACCACCCAAATCCCTAAATCTTTCTATGAATAAAAGAATGTTTATATCTTACCATCTGAGTTGAATAAATTTTCTGACATTCTAAATTTTCTTTCTGATATTCAAGTTCCTGAGCTTTAAAATATGGTATGTGCTATAAAGGAAATATGAATAAAAAATGTGTTTCAAAAAGAAAAGAAACTTGTTATCCTAAAAGTAATTAATGCTGATAAATTAACATATTCAAATTTGATACCGTGTTAAACTTGTAACTACTTCTTCTTCGATACCCAGTCATGTTTACTACGTGCAAGTTTTAATTCTGCATCACTTACTTCTGAAGTATTGACTGAGACTGAATCTTTTTTTTCCTTCAGAGGTTCTCTATTATCAGCTACCTCAACACTTGAATGAGCTTGTGACTGTTTGCCTCTTGATAAGAAATCCAGTAGCTGTCAAATAAACAAATCAGTTTTATCTGTTAAATATCTATTCTGTAGATAACCTTTTTATTTCAAATAGCAGGATAAACCTCTTATGCCTGTTGTGTATAACATAAAATTGCTTGCAAAACATCTGAAATCATTAAAAACAATGGCTGGTACTGTTGTTTTGGTTGATTATATGATCTTGATATTACTGGTTCTACTATTTATTAAACATATTTGAAAATGTTTACACTTGCAATTATTTCAGAGATAGAACATATATGTATATATAATTTAAAGAGAAACAATTTTCCATGTCTAACTTTTAACACATTGTTAAACTTAGCTTTATAATTATATATAACAAACTTTGTAGTATCAGGAATAAAATCCTAAATTCTATAACAATAATTGAGATTAATTGTACAATACTTCAAAAAAAGAAGAGTTTGGAGGGGGGGGGTCTGATTGATGTGTCTAAGATTGTAAAGAGAATTGATAGTGTTTATGC